TGAGGCTTTCATCCTCGCCTATTCTCAAAGCCATCAGGGAGTCCACCCTCAACGGCTGTAGTTTATTTGTCACAAACCTGGCCACAAATATCTTGGCCAGGCCTTTCCAGCTTTTCACAGTTCCTTTCGGCAACTTGTGAAACTAGTCTGATGCAATTTTCCCAAAGGATGAGGGGAAAACCTTGTAGAACAACGGCTCGTTCCCGATGTATAGTGCCATTGAGTTCAGATACAAGCCGACGTAAAAGTTAGGGTTAGACTTACTGTCGTATATCTGGAATCTCGGTATGTGGAACATCTTTGGGGCCTCAAATTTGTCCAATTCTACCGAGAACAGCGTTCTCGGCATGACCGGAGAGGTTACGTCAGCATCCTGTCACTTCCTCTGGAGGTAATCTCTCAGATCCTCTTTGGTCCGTCCAGGAGCTCGGCTATCTACGGATTTTAGCCTCTTTGGCGCGCTACTCCCTGTGTCGTTATAGGTCCTCTTGGACCTCCCTCCATTGGTTGTGTCAAAACAAAGTTCCTTCTCTTAAATATGCCGACGTTCTTCGGGATTAGCTTCTTTGGTACGATGTGTCCTCCGAGAATCTCCCTTCATTGACTCTCTTCGCCCGACCTCCCTTAAAGGCCGGTGAGAGTGTTTCTTGGTCCTAGTGTGCTGGGGGACTACAGGGACTGTTTTCTGCCCTACTTTATGGGCATCATTCTTGGCCGCTGGAATTTGCGTGTCTTGTAACGGGAATGATGGCTGCATGACGTTGTTGTATGATGAAATTGACGACCAATTGTAGGTCCACCAATTTATTCACTATTCCCTTCATCTCTCAGTCCCTCCGCAGGCATTTATCTTTCCACACCTGGAGGTCATTCTCGTTATAATACCCGCCTCGGTCTGACTTCTTTTGATACGTCACCCTCCTAGCCGACGTCTTTCTCTCCGGGATTCTGATCCCGAGTTTCCTCGTTGCAGTTGTCCTCCTCTATGTTAGGATCAAAGTGTTTATCACTTCCAGTAGGGATGTCTTCCTCAATCTTGTCTTTCTACCCGTCATTGGCCATCTATTCTCCTTTCTTTCCCATAAACGGCGCCAAATTGTGTATGTTGTTTTCTGACCACATTGCCAAACATGTACTCAGCTGGAGAACATCGGCAGAATAAATTACACCCGAACAACCTGTCACAGAAAGAAAAGACTCCGACGATGGTTCATCCACCCGAGGGCACTCCGACGATCAAGTCAGTACTCAATCATCTCTCAAAGATAGTAAATAGTGCTTATATTCACTAGTCAAAATACAGAGGGTGCCTTACTTTTATAGTTAGCACTAACTTGATCCCTGTAGAAGCCTAGCTTCCCTTGAACTCTGGTCCAATGCTCATCCTGGACTCTCCAATAGATCAAGATAAACTCCCTAAGAGCTTTATCCTTATCTAGGCCCCCATTCTAGGACTCTTATAGCTTATCCGTTTATCTCGGATTCCGCCATCTCCGTAGATAACCTCGGCCTAGCCGAGATTATCTCGGCGTCATAACCAGGACACGTGGCACCTCGGCTGGCACTTCGGTGCCACCTTGGCCACATGTTGTTATTCACAAAATATGTCCCTACAGTACTATTAGCAAATGTAATGCTAGAGTAAGTTCAAAGAATAAAAGGTGTTTTGTTTTTGGAAAAAATATCTAGGTAGGATATAGGAATGAAATCAACGGTTAAAATTAATAATAAATAAATAAAAAAGTGAGGACGGGTTCTTGCGGGTGCAAGTTAAACCCGTAACCCACAAACATGTCATATTTCAAACTGCATTCACTCGCATTGTGTCTACGAAACCGCCCATTTATATGCTAGTTAAGTGGATTTTGCAGATCGGATAAACCGTTGTCTACCCCTAATAAGACTTTGTTTGGCATGTACTAAAATAATACATATTATTTTAGCACATTATTTTATTTTGATCACATTATCTCTTATTTAGCTCATATCATTTCTCTATCACATCACTTTATCCTCAATCCACACTTCACATTTTTCATAAAAAGTAAAAAAAAAAAAAAAATTACTAATTTGGCACTTCCTAAACAACCCCTAAATAGTGTAAAGTATTGATTCAAGACTACCAAATAACTTTTCAAATTAGAATGTCCAATTTCATTTGGGAAAAAAAATACTAATTTGACACTTCCTAAACAACCCCTAAATAGTGTAAAGTATTGGTTCAAGACTACCAAATAACTTTTCAAATTAGAATGTCCAATTTCATTTGGGATGTGAGTTAACTTTTTAGATTTTTGACTATTTTAGTCCAGGGTTAAAAAGTCTCGTTTGGAATAGAATTTTTTTTTTTTTTTTTTACTTTTGTGAGAGAAAAAATGAAATGATTATAATTTGAATATGACATTTTGTCTTATTGAGCTAAAAAGCCTATTTTATCTTTTAGCCAAAAAGCCCCATTTTAACTTATGCCAAACAAAGGTTAATAGTGTTTTGGGATATTCTAAATAAGTATACTTTTGACTTTTTATTAAAAAAAATGTGTAGAAAATGAGAAAAAATGGTCAGAAAAGTAGAGACGAGATATTGATAGATGTTAATTGATGTGACCCAAATAAGTATATGTAGGTAAAAGAAGTGTACTTTTTTAGTTTACCCAAACGCCTACTAAGGTTAATAGACATTATGAATGAAAAATGTTTGAGATATCTAATTTATTATTTTTAAAAATTATCTCTAATCATGTGTTTGGCAAGTATTAAATTTTGATTTTTCAAATATTTAATCACGTATGATCTAATTTTAATATCACATCATTAAAAATCATTTAAGAATAATAAATTAAAGAATGGAACATTATCCAAGTTATACACACAACATATAAACATATATTAATGTACTATCCACAATTATGAATCAATAAATACCGTATATTATTTACATGTTCTATCAATGTGTGAATAAATTTATTTTCTTTGTTAAGTGTTACAGTTTTAGTGAGTTATTATATTCATTTTTCAGTAAGTTAAAATAGTGTATAAACATATTTATTACTTTCAAGCCATTGCAGTCGCAATTTGTGAAGAACAACTAATCTATTGAATCATCCCTTATGTGCCATTATCCAACTATGAAACATTTCTCATGATCTTTTTCAGTTAACCCATGGCTTGTTTCAGTGAAAAATATGTTTTATAGGAATGTTTTTTTTCAAAAAATATTTTTCATTACAACCGTTTCTTATGTTTGATTGTATTTTTGAACTTAATGTTCTAATAGTTGCTTTAGTAGTGATAGTGGTGATAGCGACAAAAGTGATGGTGGTGGAGGTGGTGGTGGTAATAGGGTGGAGGTGGTAGTGGTAGTGGTTGTAGGGGGTGGAGGTGGTGGTGGCAAGTGTGGTTGTGGGGGGTGAAGGTGATAATAGTGATGGTAATGTGGTGTCATTGATAAAAGTTTGGTTCAAAATATGTTTTCAGCCTTTTAAACGTAAAAAATATTTTGTGCCTAAATAGGCTTATTTTCGGTTGATTGTAAAAAATAATTTCCGTTAACATTTGTTTTCTGTTGTACTAAACACCAAAAAATACAAAAAAAATATTTTCCCACACAGATGTAGAGTAAGAATTACAACTTGAGTTTGTCAGGTTTAGAGGTTACTCAAGCATAGCTTCAATTGTGTTAAAAGTTGTCTAAAGCCACCCAAATTTAAATTGCAACTTGAATCTGTCTATCCAAACCCAAACTAATTTGAACTCATGCTAAGACTGATTTTATTATTTATTTATTTTTTCAACCAAAGCTGATTAATTTATTAAAATTAGACGTTATTAACATATTTTTTGATAAAATTATTAATAACATCACAATAAATAATTTATATAACGAAAAGAGACCAAGGAGAGATGAGAACCGAAACCGATACTTAGAAGAATAAATAATAAAAAAAAAGATTTTGTACTGTGTTGTATCACTTGTGAATATGATATGTAGTAAATATGAATAATAGTCCAGATAATTTTAACATAAATCAGAATTTATATGTGTATTTAATACATATAGATTTAGGCTTCAAGCTGCTCAATGTCTCTCTATTCAAGCCCAGCTCAAATTTTTATAAATCTAAATTACACTGAATTCAAAAATATAGTCCAAACCTTAAAAAGTTTCGGGCTGGGCTCAAATTAATGGTGGGCGGAGCTTGTGCAGCTTACTAAATGATTAAAAAAAAAAAAAACGCAGCTTACATTAACAGTCTTTATAGTTTAAGTTTTGTGCCACGTAACACATTTGATTTTAAATTTTAAATCTTCAATTAAAAATAACATCGTTCAATTTGAAAAATAAAGTTGACAATTTAATAAATTATAAACTAATTTGACAAAAATAAATATCAAAAAAATATTTTTGAATCTTTTAAAATGATTTTTATCCACTAAAAATAAAATTATGAGAAATTAATAAATTTTTTAGACATTTATTTAAAAAAAATTTACCAAATTACTTTTTATTATATGTTTAGATGATAGTCATGTAATAAATAATTGTTTTTATTTTCATTAAATTAGTTTATATTTTTTCAAAAATCAAATATGACGACAAGTTTAATATCATTATTAAACCAATCAATTAATTTAAAAAATCCAAAACTAAAACCATTTTATATATTAAATATATCGATTACACATTAAAAATCTAACAACCATTCATTACATGATCATCATCTAAACATATAACAAAATTAATTTAGTAAAATAAATAAATAAATAAATATCTAAAAAAATTATCAATTTTACATAATTTTATCTTTGATGAGTAGAAATTACCCATAAAATTGAACAATTACATCTTCAATTGTCCTTATTTGAAATAAGATTCAAAATTAAAGATTGTCACAATTAAAAAATTAACCCCAAACTATAAGAACTGTAACTGTAATTGGCCCTTAAAAAAAATTAAAAAACCAATAAAAGAATAATAAATAAAAGAAACACACCTAATGAGCCGTTGAAATTGAATTATGAACATTACATCACAATCAACTATAAGAGAATGTCACAATGTCACAAGATAACATGGACAAAATAAAAGTCCCCAAAGATCGGTAATCAGAAATGAAGAACTGAAATCTCATAGAACTAAATGATTATGGGGTGATAAAAATGTCTTATAAGGAAAATTATGACAAACATTGCACTTTAGGTGAATAGTTGGTCTTTCCAACATTTTCATGGGGTCAAACTTTCTCGGAAAAAATATCAAGAGATCAATAACAGACTAACCTACAATCTCAAATTTGAAATCTGTAGTGTTTGTTAGCTCACCAAAACTGCTGGGTAGCTCGTGTAGCTCGTGGGGATTTGAAAAACCATACAAGCTTAGAAACCAAAGAAACCAAGCTCACTGGCTCTCTCCTTCTCAAATGTCTCGAAGTATTGATATATGATAGTGACTGCAAGCAGAATCCCGGTCCCTGAACCAATTGCTCCCATGAAATCTGCCAAAACAGTCAGGGCACCAATGCACATGCCCCCAAAGGCTGCTGCGGTGGGTATGTAGCGGTTTAATTCCTTCTGTAAATTTGATTCACGATGGCCCGGCATCACCATTTGTTGTTCCTGAGAATCAGCAGGGTGAATACATATAAAATAGAATAATACAAATATATTTCTCAACAAAGGTATGATTTGCCTTGAGAGTATGTCACATTCATCAGAGAAAAACTTGGACATATATCATTCAACCCTTTTTGTTTTGATCAGCAAGAAGAAATTCATTAAAAAAAATGAGCAATTACAAATAATTTGGTTCAAAAGAGAAGACCGAGTTGATACTTTTAGCAAAATTTTCAAGAGGGATCTACCTATTTGTGTAATCAACAATTTACATACAAAATACATTACATAAACCTATGAGATGAGATAATGGCATTGACTGCAAACACTATTATTAAGAGTAGTTTAGATTCAAGTAGAATGTTTTTATTTATAAAAAAAAAAAATTATTTCCAAATTTTAAATGGGCAGCATAATGCAATTACTGTATTATGGCAATTTGAAACCGGCCCGACGGGGATCCCCAACCCCGACCCCGACCCCGATTTGAGCGGATTTTTTTCCGAAAAACACCCCCGACGGGGAGAAGACGGTATTTGAAAATCAATCCCCGATCTATTTCGGGCAGGGACGGTGATCAGTGTTCAAGCCCCGGCCTGACCCCGGCTCCATCCCCGAATTTCCCCAAAATTAAATTACTTTTATACCCCTTATATATATATATAATAGACCAAACCCCCTCACACACAATACAAACAACCCGTGCGTGGTCACTCTCTCACTCTCTCGTCTCATTCTTCTCTCTCACTGTCTCTTAACTCTCGTTCTTCTCTCTCTCTCACTCTTACAGCCATCGTCGATCTCGCCACAGCCACCGTCGATCTCACTCTCACTCAACTCTCTCACTCTCTCTCACAGTCGCCTCTCATTCTTCTCTCTCTCACTCTCACAGCCACCCTCGATCTTGCCACAGCCAGCCACCTTCGATCATATCTGTTAGATCTATACTTAGATCTGTTCTCTCTCTCTCTCTCTCTGATCTGTATTGTTGAAAACATTTTTTTAAGCCATTAGTGAAGTTCGACGTTGAAGATGGTGGATCGATGACTGAAGAAGAACGATGGTGATGGTAAATGAAAGATATAGGATGGAGGAAGAGCGACGGTAATGGCAAAGAGGAAGGAAGACGACAATGTTAGGAGAGCGAGTCAAACAGTTGAGAGATGGTGAACTATAGATCGACGACGGTGGAGATGGTTGGTGAACAATGATAGTGGTAGTGGCTGGGGGGGGGGGGGGGGGGGGGCCGGGGGGGGGGGGGGGTGATGGGTTCCCCCGCCGGAAATCGGGGACGGGGATTTTGTAACCTTCGGGGATCGGGGACGGGGAGTGTGGTGCCTGGCCCCGGCCCCGGCCCGGCCCGTTGCCATTCCTAATTACTTGAGATTGAGATAGCCAAATTAACAAACAACTAACAAGGTCCATCTTGCTTACACCAACTTGCAAAGAGCAAAACGGAAATCATATAAAAATCACACCTTGAGCTGCTTAGCCACATCTTTAGCAGAGGACCCAGATACTTCAATCCAAGTTTTTGAAAACAAAGCACATGCTGACAACATAAACACAAGATAAAATAGTGCGTGGAAAGGATTTGCTGCCATGTCCGCCAAGCTGCAAATCAGAGATTAACATTATTTGTTAGTATAGCTAATGTAACTATATAAATACTTTACACTGAGAGGTATGCAAGCTATGACATAGCAAAAGATGAGAGAGAGAGAGAGAGAGATCAACCTTGATGGTGCAGTAATATAATATGCAATACCACCAACAGGGACGGATTGACCAGAATATTCAGATTCCTTCCACTTGCCCAACAGGTTCACAAGGAAATTCCCACTGTATCTCCTGTACAGCAACTGCACAGACCAAAAATTAGATCACATGAGAATCTACTTCTCTGACACACAAACTTATTCTGTATCCGTGCTAACAAGTCGGTTCAAAATTTTGAAATTAACAAAACTGTTCTATATTTGTGTTAAAGGGTGGGCTTGAACCTTTGGTCTTATATTTGATTATCCGAATACTAGAGCAAAACAAAAGACACCAACTTCTGCATACACCAGTGAAAAGTTGCAGTACCTGGGAAATGAAGTAAAGATTGGAGACAAGTGCAGACTGCAGAATGATGGGCATATTGGAGGTGTAGAACAGCTTGATTGGATATGAGCCCTGCTGTCCTCGAGCATTCTTTGACCTCACAGGCAAAACCACACGGAACCCTTGGAAGTAGATAACAATAAGGAAGACCAAGACGGTAGCAAGCAAGTTTGTTACGTTTGGAAGGTTCTGCCGGTAGAATGCCTCACGCAGTGCACGAACCTTGTCTGTTCGAGTTATCAGTAAATGAAACAAAGCAATAACGGCACCCTCAAATTCAGCTCCACGCCCACTATTAATTGTGGTGGGACTAAATGCTTTCCAAATAATGTTCTCACTGCAGAGAAATCACAGAAATCTCAAGTAACAAATTTTTTTTTGGATGCAACTTAAATAATAATATTCAAAACCCATAATTGCTGGTAAAGCCAACAAAAGGTACAGGAGCTCACCAGATGTTAGTTGCTATGAAAAGGGATATTCCCGAGCCAAGACCATATCCTTTTTGAAGAAGTTCATCTAAACATATCACAATGATACCAGCAAAGCAGAGTTGAATGATAATAAGAATGGCATTTCCAACTCCAAGCTGTCCAACACTTCCATACATCCCAGAGAGAACGTATGCAACTGCCTCCCCAACAGCTATAAGAATGCCCAACAACTTCTGCGCACCATTTCTGAAATGGAAAAATAATCATCATGTGGAACATAAATGAAACAAGCAGCACAAGTATGTTGCAGTTAAAAAAACATAGAAATCCACCTTAACCCATAAAAATCATGGCACATTCAAGCAATCGTAAGGCATGAGCATTCCTCATACAATGGTCATTCCAAGTTCAAACACAACAGCAATTAAAAAAGAGCACACATACTTATATTTAGAGGGAACTTTTACTTTCCTTTTTTGATGTTGGATAAATAGAGCTTTTTACCAAATTTTAATTGGGTAAAATAAAATTTATGTCAATTAAATTTAAAAATCATATGCCGATCAGCAGTGCGAAAACTAAATTCTTCCTCCCAATTCATCTAAACATATCACAATGATACCAGCAAAGCAGAGTTGAATGATAATAAGAATGGCATTTCCAACTCCAAGCTGTCCAACACTTCCATACATCCCAGAGAGAACGTATGCAACTGCCTCCCCAACAGCTATAAGAATGCCCAACAACTTCTGCGCACCATTTCTGAAATGGAAAAATAATCATCATGTGGAACATAAATGAAACAAGCAGCACAAGTATGTTGCAGTTAAAAAAACATAGAAATCCACCTCAACCCCTAAAAATCATGGCACATTCAAGCAATCGTAAGGCATGAGCATTCCTCATACAATGGTCATTCCAAGTTCAAACACAACAGCAATTACAAAAGAGCACACATACTTAAATTTAGAGGTAACTTTTACTTTCCTTTTTTGATGTTGGATAAATAGAACTTTTTACCAAATTTTAATTGGGTAAAATAAAATTTATGTCAATTAAATTTAAAAATCATATGCCGATCAGCAGTGCGAAAACTAAACTCTTCCTCCCAAATATCATCAGCGGTGAGGTAAATTGATTAATGCAAAAGGAAGTAGTCATATCAGAGCACAAAGCTAAAGAGAGCACAGCCTCATAAAATACTCACAAGAGGGCACGATCCTCCCGTACATTATTGTCCACTTCAATGATCTTGGATCCAGCCAAGAGTTGCATAACCAGTCCAGATGTCACAATGGGGGTGATCCCCAGCTCCATAACAGTCCCACGATTTGAGGCCAGAATAACACGCATCCAATAGAATGGATCTGCACCTGTTGTAGAGTGTATGCCATACAGAGGGAGCTGACTGCATACCAGAAAAATAAAGAGAGAGATCACAGTGTATATAACCTTCTCTCTAAATGGAACCTTCCTGTCGGCAGACTGAACTTCAGGCAGAAATGAAAGGAATGGTCGGACAAGATGCAGCACTCTAAACCCACCTCCCATCTTGTTTAGTACAAACTAAACCAACCCAACCTGCATTGGGAATTCAAAGTAAAGCATGGCATCAACAACTGAGTATACATGTCAACAATTACATCAATGATTTAAACTCAATACTGCAAAGGTTTATGCTTTTTATTTATTTATTTTTAATTTATTTTTAGAATTTAATTAGGGAAAATGAAGTTCAAACCATAAGGCCTCTCAATCCTAGGGTTAACAGTTATGAGTTATGACTGGATCCATGAAACACAGCAAATAATATAATCAAGGTTAAATTAAAGAGACAAATTATTAGAAACGGTAAGACTCAAAAGTCGTACGTATACATGCACAAAAACAAACAGCCATTAAAATTTCCAATATATTAAGAGAGAAAAAAATATGGCATTGCACTTGTGTGTTAAGGGTTTATTAAGTTGCATTTAACTATAAAGGAAACTTAAATACAAAGGGATCAAAAGCACCAGAAAAGTCTTTTTTCTTTCCATGTCAAAGGTTCTAATCCTCCTATCCAACACATTTCAGTCTTAACAGTTAATAATCACAGTAGGCTAGTCCCCTCTCCCCCTCCGGCCTAAAAAAATAATCATACTAACCCTCCGTTTGTTTCAACATAAAACATTTTCTAACGGAAAACATTTTTTATGTAATTTTTTTTTTAAAATGTTTTCCAGAGAATAATTTTCTATGTTCGGTGGCAGTAGTAGTGGGACGAAGGTGGAGGTGTGGTGGAGGCGATGATGGCTGTGGTAATGTGGTGACATTAGTAAGACAAAAAAAAAATTCTGGCTTTCAAAAGTGGAGCGTAATAATACAAAAATCATTTACAAGTAGTAATATAGTCTTTGGGGTCAATCATTTTCATGGATCAATATCAGACAAATAAAAAACTGAAATCATATTAGAACCAGATTGAACGTGAAGTCAACCCTCAAATCTCAGTTAGTTCGCACCAAATACCTAAGAATCCTTCAGGAGTCCAAACACTAGTTCGAAAAGTTTATGACTTTAATCATTAAAATTTATAAAGTTTATCATAAATCTCAAAAAAAAAAAAAAAAAAAATCCCAAATACACCAGTATTTTTTATTTCCCAAAAAAATAAAAAAAACAAAACAAAACAAAACAAAAAGAGAAAAAAGTCAAACAAATGCCCAAACATACACCTCCACACTCGCACAGATCTAGGTATAGACACCTAAAATCCAAAATTCAGTTTTTGCCTCATTCATTCAATTTTCCCAGCAACCAAACAAGAAATGAATAAGAGGGATACTCATCACATCAAAACCAAGGTCAAGGAAGCTTAATTTTTTTTTTCCAGGATTGCAAAATTACAGATCTGTAAATCTATGAATCAATGAAAAACTAAGAATAGGATTCAGAAACTAACCGTTTGAATTTGAATATCTGAAACCCTACTCAGAGTTGGGTCCCTGGAGATAGATTGATTCTTCTGAGGCGCTTTTGACAATTGCGTATTGTGGATTTTGCTTTTAAATCTGAGGGAAAAAAAAACAAAGAAAAAAAAAAATCAGAAAGCGACTGAGAAATTAGGGTCTATATCTGGAGGTGTCGACGTGCCGCTTTCGTCCAACAATTGTGTGCCATGCCAGTTGGTACTTGGCACGTGTGAGCGATGATGTTTTTTTTGAAATGTAGGTGTTGTTTGAGAAGTTTGTTATTATAGTTGATTATTTAGCTTTTTAATTATTCTAGTTAAAAAAATTGGGTGTTAGGAAGTTAGTTGTTGTTGTAGTTGTTTCTTTTTTTTTTTTTAGGTTAAATTGATAGTTATACGAGAAAAAATGAAATGGTTATAAATTAGATATAACATTTTATCTTATTTGTTATTTTAAATTATTTTATTTTTTAATAAATTATTTTAACCCAATCTTCTTTTCAAACAAGACCTTAATCAACTTAATCATGTTTGAGAACAAAAATAAGTTACAATTTTTTTAAAAAAAATTATCAAAATATATTTATTTTTTTTGGGAAATGACCCATAAATCCTAAAAGGTGGAATTGTAATCTATCAGTCCCATATTTAATTTTGTACACCAAAAGGTCCCATTATTTGGGGGTGGACAGTTTTGCCCATGAACGTACTGTTCTTGATTTGGTGATATTATGTTTGAATGATGTGGGTGTATGTAACGTTAGGGGAAAGATTACTATAATTTTTTTTTGGCTTTAATAGTGTATGTAGGGGAATCCACGTTATTTATGACTAACACGTTGGTGGCCTGCATAATTTTTAAAGCCCACATTTGAACACAACCCATCATTTTGCAAAAACCATACTTTGGTGGACCACATCAAGTTGGTAAAACATCAACTTCATGAACCACATTTGGATGGCCCACTTCATAACGCAAGCCCAATCTCTGAAGCTCCACATTACGAACAGTCTTTGAAGATTGAGGCCTTGATTTAGAAGTGTGTTCTACCGTAACTGAGGAACACGGTGGATAGCATGGTGTGATAAGAGTAGTGTAGGGTTTGGAAACGGAATTGTTGTTTCCAAAACCAAAGGATCGTGTTGTCTTCGTAATCCGCGTAACCAGATCCCACATTTAACGGTGTAGATATTTGGTAGAACTGATTCCGATTGAGTGATTTACGCCAGTGAATACCCCAAAATCCCCCCAAATCCAAAACGCGAAACAAACCCCTAAATTGTTGTGGGTAGATTTGTTTTCTTTGGTAGGGTTTATAAGTTGTAGATATTTACTAGTATTTAAGTGTGGCCGTCATGGTTGCAACAACTGTGATACACTGCGTTGTGCTTGTAAGGATCCCACAAACGATGAGGACTCCGCGAAACAGTAAGTTTTCTCTATTCTGAAATGCGTTTTGTGAAATAAGTATTGTGTTTGTGTGTGTTGTGATGTCATATCTTGTTTGTTTTTGTTTTGGGGGTACTAATGGTGCGATGTTGGGATGTGGTTTGATAATGTGTTTTGGGGAAAAAGTGTTCCGAAATTTATTTTGTGAAATCAGTGTGCACAACCATAGTTGGGATGTTATGTTTATGTTTGAGTTTGTTTTTTGGGATATTGTTAGGGCGATATTCTGATGTGGATTCTGAATGTGTGACCGTTGAACGAGAGTGGCCAACATTTTCGATAAGTGTGGGGGGTGGGTGATTGGTGGCATTGGAAACATTAGGGGAGAGAAAGCTCTGCGTTTTATTTGGGGTGATTGTTTTGTTGGTTCTAGAGTGTGGTACAAACTTTGTGATTGTGTACATTGGAGTGTTTTGTTCGACGAGTGGTTTTTGGGCTGGGTTGGTATTTGTTTTAATGATTGTTTGGCTGTGGTGTTGGTGTGGTGGTTGTATTTTTGGGTGTAACGTATCTGTTGTATTGTTACATGGTTGGGGGTGTAAGGAAACAATGGTGGTTGGTGTGTAATGTTTGTTAGTATGATCGTGACGAGCTCTGTGAATGTTGGACATGGTGTGGGTATGTGGTGAATATGTTGTGGGCAAGGGGCGTTTGTAGTTGTAATATTTTCCAAAAAATTGGGTGTATAACATTCGCAGGTTGTTGTAGTTGTGTATGTACGTTATTTTGATTATTGTTCAAGATTATTGTTTTTTATGCATTTTGATGTTGGAATATGATGATTGTTCAAGATTGTTGTTTTTTTATGCATTTTGATGTTGGAGTATGAATGGGATCCTTCGGATCACTTTACCAAAAAAACAGGACTTGGACGTGTATTAATTTAAAAAAAAAAGACCTGGTAGACTACAACTCTCCAAAATGGGAGTTTCTAATAATTTTCCCTTATTTATATTGAATTTTATTTTCTATTTGGCTGTTAATTATGAATCTGGAAGTTTACTTAAGAAAATATTTATATGGGATTTGACTCCCTAAATTACAATTGCCAAACATAAAGAATAGAAATATTTAAATTATCCAAAAAATCTAACATTTAAATATGAGATCACTTGCATTTGCTTAAACTTTGAATTTGCATAAAAAGACATTTAAAAAGAGAAGAAAGTTGTGGTTTAGTTCTCAAAATAAATGAGTTCCTAAAAATTAATTTAACCATAAGTTATTTTAACATGACAATTATAGCGATTCCGGTTTTTTCCTGTCATTTATCGTATTCCGGACTCGGGTTCCGTGGTTGTATGTCGTTGTCTATACCTTATTTCCATCATTTACTCTTTGAATTTGAATTTGGAATGTCTTGGGCGTGTTTAAAACAGGTTGGTTGCTAATTGGTCTAGAATCTTGTTGCCTAGAATTTTGGTATTCCGCTTGAGCGGGTCCTTTTGCGCTCGAGCGTTGCAATCCTTCAGTACCTTGTGCTTCTGCAAAAATACTGGAGAGGTGTTTGTAAACGTCCCCGAACGTCCCGGGAAGGAATCCCGTTTTGTTCTTTGGGGCTTACTACAGTTCAGGACTCAATGTCACAGTCTTGTATCTAATCTCACAGAGTGCAATGCAAGACCGATGAATCATCAAAGAGTCCAAATCCGACAAATCGTTTTTGAAAACAGATTTTTTGAAAGAAGTGTCAAACATGGACTGCTTTGCCAAATACAGAGTCGCCACCTAAATATTTTATTTTGGAAGGAATTTAGGAAACCTTGACTCGTTGCCTAAGGCCATGTGTCCGTCATCACCAAAGTTGCCTCGGCTCGGGAACTTGGGTACGATTGGGGAAGGTCACTTCGTGAGCACCCCCATTCGCCCGATCAAAGATCGGCCTCTACTAACCATGATATCGAGTTTTAAAAACAATATGAGCTCTTATTCCGGTTATTAGTCTAGAATTACTATGTGATACGCATAGCAAAACAAATATAGACTAGATTGCCTAAGTTGGAACAAAGCATCGCATATCCATTTGTTTCGAAAATGGATTGAAGTTTGCTACTCGCAAGTAGGCTAAAACACGGGTTTCGACGAATTATTTCAACTCAAACAACCCAACCTTCACCCACAGGCATTCAGGCAGGTATATCACATAAGCACATAGCCTCATGGTAAGCATGCTATCATGGCAGTCACTCACACACATGCAAGGATGCTAAAGCATAAATACTTACCGAGTACTCCAAGCCAAAACAGAAACTAGTTAGTAATGAATGCATGATCCTAATTCATATTAACATGGCTAATGCAACACATGCAAAAATGCAACTAGGATGGGCTCAGCTATTCTAAACATGGCATATGAAATGCAACAGATAATATGTATTTAACTTTGGAATTGAAATACAATGCAGTTAGCATGATGCGCCGAGCCCGGTGTATGCAATACAGATGAATGATGCAAACATGTGAGCGTAAGTATGCTAATTGAAACATGCCCTAAACTAACCATCAAAAACTAGTAAATAAAAGGGAGAAAGACGTGGGGTTGAAAGACATACATCACACACACACACACTTATTACACAATTGTGCCCTCTCTCGGAGGGTCCGAATAAATATTACACAACCAAAATGGATAATAACTCACAGCTAATTATTACACAATTCTAACTAATTAACAAATCAACTAAGTAAGCAATAAACTAGCATGCAAACTATGTAGAATGGACTGCCTCGGCTCTATTTTGGATGACAATGGATGCATGCATGCTCTAGTCGCCTCGTCGGGAAATTCCATCGCGATGCCTCATCTCGCCTTTGTTTGCAACTGATTTTAGAAATTTGCACAAGGCTCCAAGAGGCTGAAACTCCACCCTGGGAAGGCTGCCGACCAGGTATTGGCATGGGAGACACCTGCCGAGCACCCTTTGTGGAGGGAACCAAAAAGGGTGGGGAAGGTTGCCGACCAGCCCTTGGCCTTGGAGACCACCTGCCGACCACCTTTTGTGGTGGAGACCAAAAGAGGTGGTCGACCTGCCAGAAAAGCTGGTCGGCCGACCAGTTTCTGCCTCTTGTTCTTAGTTTTCTGCAACACAAAGCAAGAGAGAGGCATAGCAAGGTATTTTCAACAAATGTGTGTATGACCACTCTCTCCATCATTGCACAAGCTCCAGGGAGTGTAGTCCTCGATCCTCGTGCCATCAATCACATATCCCGATGCATGATGGCCGAGGAGTCGGATTGCACGACTTGATGTAAAATGAATGCACAAATGAACACAATAAGGCCTAAACTCCATCAATGGTAATCCGGAGTGTCGGCGACAGAGAATCGAGGCACGTTTTGTCACTTGGAGTACGAAACATCCCTCGTTTCCCGTGTTTGGACTAAACCCTATTCCAAACACAATGCAATATACATGGAATGGCATGGCATGCAAACACAATGCATTAACTAGCATGTAATCCTAAACGAAATGCAAATAAGACATGCAAACATGCAAGGAAAGACATGCAAAGGTGCAACTAGTATACGCAATGCTATGAACTACAAATGGCATACTCAATGCACATGACGCTATATGGCATACACAACGCACATATGATGATGGACATACACAAAGGCATACACAATACGACGATCAAGCACGCGACAACATGGACATGGCATACATAATGCGAGATGGACTTAAACTAAAATGAATGGGCCTCAGCCACACTCAAATTAGTGGCCAAACATGGTGGAATGAAAGGTAGGAACACTCATGCAATCATGCCCGATGCA